AGCTTTTCCCACTTAGGCCCTGGTGTCAGCCGTTACTGAGGGTCTGGTCATGCAGGCATGATGAGCAAGGAGTGAGCTGAGGCCCTGGGCAACAGGGGAAGCACGGGGTCCTTGTGGGCTGGGTGGGTACCTCACACACCAGGGCTGGGCACCCATCTGGTCTAGGCCCAGACGGGGCAGGGACATAGCTGAGGTCTCGTGGGGACTTGGGTGGCTCCTGAGGTTTCAAGCCTGACACTACAGGGGCACCTGTAGTCTGAGCATGAGGCCCCCATTTATAGATGGCAAAGCCAGGCTGGGAGGCCAGTGCAGTGGCTCGGGCCTATAATCCTAGCATTCTAGATGGCCAAGGTGGGTTACTTGAGCTCAGGAGCTCAAGACCAGCCTGAGCAAGAGTGAGGTCCCATCTCTAAAATGCAGGCACATTGTGGTGGACACCTATAGTCCAAGCTACTCAGGAGGCAGAGGCAAGAGGATCACTTGAGCCCAAGAGTTTGAGGTTGCTGTGAGCTATGAGGTCATAGTACTTTACCAGGCAACACAAAGTTAGACTCTGCCTCACCAAAAAAAAAAAAAAAAAAAAAAAAAAAAAAAAGCCAGGTTTGGGAAAGGGGTCTTGGAATCAGTCAATCGGTTGACCTGGACTAAGGACCAATGGATGTGGCCCCAGTGGGTGGCTCTTCCATAAAATGGGGGTGAAATACTAGAGCTGTCAGCCCCACACCCTCAAGGGTAGCACAGCTGGGAGGGGGCTGAGCCATCTGGGAAAGCACCTCCTGACCCAGGAGGGCAGAGCAAGGGCTGGGAGGAAAGGGCCTTCTCCAGGAAGCCCAGCACTCTGCCCTCTGCCCAGCACTCTGTCCTCTGTCCAGCACTGCCCAGGGCTGGCCCTCTCATGGGGGGAACCGAGGTCTCTACCGGCTCTGCCATCTAGGCACAGGACTCCCTAGGACCTTGCAGGGAGCCCAGGCTTACTCTGGTCGCTGCTGGGTTCTGAGAAGATGCCAGAGTATTGAGGTGAGGCAGACCCATCTGAAAGACTAGTGAGGGTCTTGTAATGGGCGTCCAGTCTGGAGGGTGAAGCTGAGCCATGTGGTGGTGGGGGTGGGGAGGTAGGTAGTCTCCCCAGGAGCAGGGGAGAGAGGAAGGGAGGTGCCCAAAAAATTTTGGGCAGACTGGTGGGGCAGTGGGGTTTGTGAGCTAAGAGATGACTCCCTAAGAGAAGGTGCCGGGGCCCAGAGTGCAAGTGGAGGAGGCTACGCCCAGAGGAGGAGGGACAGCCAGGCTCCTGGGGCCAGAGCCTCCTCCTTGCACTCTGGGCCCCGGCCCTGTGGAAATGGGGGTGGGAGTATCCAGGGGGAGGTAGCAGGTGTGTGAGCTGCACAGGAGGAGCCACTACCCCAGCAGCTCCCTCTGGCCCTCCTCTGCCTGTCCTCCCTCCCCTCTCTCCTCTTGCACTTGACTGACATCCAGCTTTCTGTGGCTTCTCTCCTGGGGCAGGAGGTAGGCGATGGCCTTGACCCTGGAGCCAGGCAGGTGCTGGAGAGACTCCAGCTCCTTTCTCCAGATGGTGCTGGGGAGCCACAGACTGTTTCCCACTACATTTTTTCTCTTCTGTGAATTGGGAGCACAGCCCCCAGCAGTCTGGCAGATGTGGATGGTGACTGGTCCTGTGGGTTTCACTCCATTCACTGGTGTCCTGCCAGGATGTGAGGGTCCAGGGCTTACAGAATGGGAGGAGGCAGCTATGGGACACCAGGCAGCGATGTAGACAGGGCGCCCCACCCCTGCCTTGGGCCTCAGGCCTCCAGGAAGCTGAGGCAGGAGCCCAGGCAACATTTCCTGCTATTAATGGAGCGTAATCTAAACAGGCCCTAATATTTACCTCTAGACGCCTCCGGCCTCAGAGGGTGCCAGACAGTGAGAGTGATGAGCCTCATCCAGCCACCCCTCCTGCCCACCCGGGGGTTCCCTGGGCAGAGGCTACAGACCAGGCAGTGTGGGAGGCAAAAACCGGCCCCCAAGGGCCTCAGGGTTGAGCCCCCTCCCCAACTAACCCCCAGAGCCTCAAGTCTCCCCATCTATGAAAAGGGGTGATAACCTCAACCTCTCATGTTCAGGGACTGGGCTGCTGGGCCGGCACTATGTAGGCCCCAGGTACTGTGTTCCTCCCTCTCCCTCGCATCATGCCCTTGGTGACACGACAGGACGCCCCAGTGTGGGCATTCTGCTGCCCTGCCCACCTCCACCCTCTCTCCTGGGTGGGCGTTGTTCTGCCGGTCTGTGCCGCCACCCAAGCTGTGCGCCTACAACCTGCCCACAAGTCTGCCACCTGTGTCCCCTTTGTCCCCTGCCCATCAGAATTGGGGCCCTCACAGGGACAGTGAAACCATGAACCCAGTGCTGTAGCCTTCCACAGGACTTTGAGAGGAGGGGGGGACCCAATGACCCCCCGCCTGTCTGCCAGTCTAGGAACCATGGTGTGGGCAAGGCGGGAATAAACAGTTTTAATTCAGGACAAGGACTTCTGGTTAAGGACATTGTTTACATCAGATATAAATACACACACCATTTTATGTCACTTGGGTGTTCTGACAATCTGGGAAGGGAGAGCATGGGGAGGGGGACCCACAGAACTCACACCCTGGCCTCATGGGGCTCAGGACAGTCCTGGTCTGACCTGCAGGCTCCTGCAGGATCCTGCAGGCCCCACAGAGCAGGGGAAGTGGGGGGGCTGCAATCAGAAGGAGGGGGCCCAGCGTCGGGGGTCCTGTGGGGGCTGGCAAGGGCCTTGGGCAGACCCCAGCCCTCCAGCTGCAAGGCAGTGAAGAGGAGAAAGCAGAGTGTGGGTGGGGACCGAGGGTTCTGCATGAGGGGCTGTCAGCAAGAGTTCCCAGAGGGCAGGAAGCAGCCCTTTCAAGCGTTTCAAGTGGGAGTGGTGGTGGGAGCCTTACCCTTTGACCCTGGGTGTCCTTCTCTTCCGAGGCTGAGAAGCCTCTGAGGCCCCAAAGAACCCAGGCTGAATGGTGAGCTTCAGAATTGGGGCAAAGGAGGGAAAGCTTGGCACACCCACCTTAGTGACTCCTCCTAGAGGAAGAAATTGTTCCAGAAAGATTGCAGCCCTTGCTCCCCTGCTAAGCATAGCAGTCAGCTGGTGTCAGCCATTCACTCTTTAGTGTGAATTAGAGTGATGACCAGGAATAGGACCATGTTGGGGGAACTTTGATGGGGACAGAGTGTTGGCAGAGGAGAGACATAGGCTGTAAAAGAAGGGGGGCTATAAAGCTGCATGTGAAGCCCAGTGGGGTCCCCAGAGGCTGGGCTGCTCCCTGCCCAAGCTCTCTTCTCATTGCCCTGTGCCTCCCCATACCTGTGGCCCAGAGAGGTCCTCACAGTACAGTGGGGGAATCAGGTCAGAGGAGAGTGTCACACTCCAGGTCACATGGAGAACTGACTTGGCTGGGGCAAGGGGGAGTCAGGGGGTGGTCCCTGGGTCTGGCACGCTCCAAGTAGCACCAGGGACTACCCACCATGCCTGGCCTAGTGGTCATGGTGGTGCCCATTACTCTTTCGGTACCTGGGCCCAGAAGCAGCCCAGGTGGGGTCCCAGTTCCACCACCACCCTGCTGGGCATCCATCTGTCTGGGCTGACACCCCATCCCAGTTGCCCCTCAAGGCGCTGGAGTAAACGGAGCCTTGGATCACCCATGTACTCACTCTGTGACTCTGAAGGCCCTTCTCCCTCAGTTTCCTTGTCAGTAAAATGGGTGTATAAACAGCCTTTTCATCTTCCGCCCAGGCCCCTCTCTGGGGCCCGGAACTTGGGAACAGGATACTCTGCCTACAGCTGAGCTGCGAGCCCTGGGCTTGCCTGCCCTTCCCCCTCCATCTGCTCCAGCCACACAGGCCACCACCACCCCGAGTGTGTCTGACCTGTGTCAGTGGCTGCGGCCAAGTGTGGGGTGGGGCTCCCACTATGGGCTCCCTCCTCTAAAGCTAGTCTGAAAAGAGCTTGTGGGAGCTTAGACAAGTGACAGAAGGCCTGTGAGAAGCAATCCTGGAGTCCAGCTTAGAAGAGGTGATCAGAGCCCAAGCCAGAGAGAGTATCTCTCCCTAGAGAAGCCATGAGGGACGTCGTGGCTGGGCTAGAGCAGCTGGAGGTCTTCCTGCCTTGGAGGGAGATCAGAGGGCTCTTTGTGTGGGGAGACAGTGGCCTCAGGGTGGCAGACCTGGGCCCAAGTTGCTGTGCGACTTCATTCTTGGTTTTCTCATCCATAGGATGGGCCATGAGCCCTGCTGTCGTCCTAGGACAGCAGGGTTGGGGCTTGGGAAGTATCATGGAAGGAGCTGCAAGGGCATTGGAGGGTGGGCTGGGCTTTGGTTTTGAGCCTGCTGTTACCTGGCTGTGGCACCTGTGTATGTCACTTAACTCCTCCAGCACCAGGAAGTAGATGAAAAAGAGCCTCTGCTTTGTGTGGTCGTGTCGAGTGTCAACCCAGGGCTCAGAGTTCTTGCTCACAGCAGTGCACCCACCATCTCGCTGCACAACCCGCAGGGGCGTTGGGTGGGGGCTCTCTCAACATTTACGTTCCCTGACATTTTCACTCTGTCCTTGTCCTTCTACCCATATGCATGAGGCAGGGGTAGAGCGGCTCTGTAGGTTTTTAAAAATCTTCTCGGGAATACTGAGTATTTAAAGATTTTTTCCCCTTTTCCGAGGAAGTCATCCTGGGGACACAACGACAGGTGCGGAGCAGCTCCTGGCTACCCCTCAGAGTTTTCAATGGGCACAGTATACCCCCGGGGCAGCACATCATTGGCATTCTGGCCACTATACCCTTGGAGGACATTGTTAATTGGCCCCAGCACTGTGGCCTTAGAGTCCCAACACAGTACACCATCAGTCTGTCAAGATGAAACCCATTTGCTGTTCCGGTCATGGCTGGTGTCTGGGCTGGCAGGCTGGGCAGAACCAGACCTTTGGCCACTTGTAGGTCCCCCTAAGCCTCAGGCCCATTGGCCAGAGCCTGGGTGAGGGTATGAGGGCCGGCACTGAGGACGTGATGATGGCCGGAGCCTTTGGAGCTCTTGTGCATGCTAACCACGTCGCCACAGCTGGGCACATTCTCAGCTCCATGCTGGTGGAAGAGGCCACGTACGGTGGCCTGGAAGCCGCTGGTGACAAAGCAGTAGACAATGGGGTCCATGCAACTGTTGAGGCTGCTGAGGGTCACAGCCACATGGTAGACCACGAGGCTTGCGTGATGTGGCATGTCAGGCCACAGGGCCACAGCCACCTGGCGGGCATGGAAGGGCGTGAAGCAGACTAGGAAGATGACGAGCACCGTGAGCAGCAGCTGCATGGCACGCACCCGGCGCTGGCGGCCCTGGCGCAGCAGGCCAGGCCGCGACAGCGCACACATGATGCGGCCTGTGAACACGCTGATGACCAGCAGCGGTAACAGGAACTCCAGGACGGTTAGCGCAAACACGCGGCAGCAGGGCCGGCCACTGGCGGTCACGCCCAGCACAGACAGGGTCACGGCACCCGCAGCCAGCCACACGAAGGCGCACACGGCCCTGGCACAGGCAGGCTGGCGCCAGCGACGAGAACCCTCAGGCTGCACGATGGCCAGGTAGCGGTCCACACAGATGCAGGTGAGGAAGAGGATGGAGCAGTGCATGTTGAGAAAGTAGCCGAGGACGTGCGGGAAGGCACAGCGCAGGCAGCCCTGTGCACCATAGAAGACGGCAAAGCGTGTGGGCAGGGACAGGCCCACCAGCAGGTCGGTCACCACCAGGTTGATAGTGTAGATGATGGACGGCGTCTTAGCCCTGGTGCGGCAGCAGAAAACGTACAGTGCCAGCCCATTGAGCACCAGCCCTGCCAGGAAGATGGTGCCATGCACTGCCATCAGCCCCAGCCACAGGCCTGGGAAGGCAGTGTGCAACTCCTCGTCCAGCAGGGCAAACAGGTGGAACAGGGGCACCTCGGGCATGCTCGTGTTGGTCCATACCGCCACGGCTGCTGTGGCATTGGGGGCTGCCATGGCCGAGGGCTCTGCTGGAGATGAGGAAGGCATGACGTTGCCAGTGCACCCCGGGGCCTGGAAGCAAGGAGACAGGGTCACGGAGGCACTAGCCCAGCATGGGGCACTTCCAGGAGGCCTGGCCCTTGCCTGGCTTGTGGGCCCCACACACCCAACATTGCTGCCTTTGTGCCTTTGCCTGTCCTGAGCCTGAAATACCTACTCTCTCTGCTCTACCCAGACCTGGCTGGCAAGCTGGGGAAAAAGGCACAGTTTTTAGAGGCAGACGGGGGTTCAAATCTCAGCCCTGGAACTTGCTGGAGTGGAGCTTTGGCAAAATGCTAAGGTTTTGGGGACTGCCTTTGCAGTAATGAGGTAAAAACACTTGTCACACAGCACTGTCCTTGGGAGAGAGAGAAGAATGGAAAGAACCCGGCTCACATCTGCACTGCAGGGCTGGACTCCAATCCTGATCCCTCCACCTACTGGCTGTGCATTCTCAGCAAAGTCCCTTACCCTCTCTGTGCTGTGTTCCTAACCTGCACTGTGGGGGTCATGCTTCTGGGAGGAGTAGGTGAGCTCATCTGGACAAGGGCACAGTGATACCCAGCACGTAGTTAGTTCTGCTGAGACAGAGCCCCCACCGCAGGAAAATGGGGGAAAGTGGGGATGGGGGAAGTGCAGTTGTACATCTGTGTCCACCTCCTCCAGGCCCACACCAGCTCAATGCCCAGGATGAGGGTCCTCATGAGGAACATTTCCAGTGGGATGCACAGGGGCTGAGCACCAGTCCCACGGGGCACCCCAGCCCCCTGTTTGCCCTAAGAAGCGAGTGCCCTTCTTATCCCCCCAGCCCTGCAGAGAAGGAGACAGACCCGTGTGGGTGGCTCTCTGGGGCCGAGCCTGGAGCCAGGTCCCAGCAGCAGACAGGCGGGGTGTGACTAAAATAAACACTGTGCTCCCCAGTCCCGGCCTAGCAGTGGGGGGCAGCTGGGGGCTGAGCTGCAGCCACCCCTCTGTTTATGTTTCTGCCCATGCATGTTTAACTCAGCAATGATTTATCCCTTTATTTATAAATGAAGGGTTAACAGGACCCCACCTCCACCCAGAGCCAGGCTGACCCTCCAAATAAGGACATTTCTAGCTTTTTCAGGAGAAAGGAGAAGCCTTTGGAGAGAGGCCGCGGGGAGGGTGGGCACATGGGCCATTTGGGGTGTGCTGTGCCTCCCCCAGCTGCAGGGGCTGGAGAGACTCTTCCCCGCTGCTGACGTCCCCCCACAGCTGTCTGCTGTAAACAGGCTGGACACGACCCACTCTCACTGACTAGGTGTGGCCTTGGGCAGCAGGCTCCCTCTGGCTGTTCCACCCCTATGGAACACAGACACTGAGTCCAGCCTCCTGGGTGACCCAGAGACCAAATGCCCAGCCTAGCTAGAGGAGGGCACAGTAAAGAAATGCTCGCTTTTGGAGGGTCAGGCCCTGCAGGGCAGGCAGCCACCCCTATGGTCAGTCTCAGAGGTCAGCACCTGCCTGAGGTCACTTAGTGTTTCCTCTGCCTCTGGGACCCCCATTCTGGGATCTGCCACCCTGGACCAGGCCTATGCCTGGCCACACCACCATATGCTGGCCCAGGTCTGGCTCACAGTGTCCTCCAAGCTGGCTCTCTGCCTCTGGCCCCTAGTAGGTGGGTGTAGATGACTAGCTCAGTCCTCCCCCAGCCCCAGGGGGCTCAGAGAGACAGTGAGTTGGGGCAGGAGAAGATGGTCTGCAGCCGTGGGGTGGGCAATAGGGGGGGATGGGACCGGGGGCATGGGACTGGGCACCCCCAGGAAGGAGATGGGTGCTATCTATCCACTGTGTTCCCCTCTGCTAGGACCAGATGCTGGAAGGAAAGATTACAGAGGACCCAGGGCTGGTCCGAGGACAGCGTGGCATGAAGTTATTTTTGGATCCCCTTCTGCATGCCTTTGGTTTTCCAATTTGTCTGCATTAGGCCTGTACTAATGTCACAATCAGAGACAAATAATAAACATGACAGAGTGTTTCCTCTGGGAGACAGTCCCAGGATGATGCCGGCCCCGGGGATTTCACGGCCAGCCAGACATGCTCCCTCACAATGCCAGGAGGTGCTGGGGGTCCGGGCCAGGTCTGTGGGACTCAGGGGACCCTGGAGTTGGGGGATGGGTGGACATGCAGGACAACAGGTGAGGGAGAGGCAGATAGCAGGTACATGCTGATTCTCAGTTCCAAGAGTCTGAACTTGATCTCAAACACAGTAAAACCCTGATTGTGGTCGCACGCTGAGCCCCAATTCCAGTAACAAGGGGAACCTCACTTCCTGTGACACTCGGAGCCCAACCCTGGTAACACACACACTGTGCCCTGATCCTGGCCCTGGGCTCTTCACACCTACCATCTCTCTCCTCTTCTCCTGTCTCTGTCCTGTGGGACCCCCACTCCCCTGTCAGTCACTCATGCGCCCCTAGCACTTCCCTGTTTCCCTCCACCTCACATCTCACAGCAACCAATTTCCTGACTTAATTATCACATGACTGCTCTCTGGGGCCTCTACTCACAATCCCTTTTGTTCTGAAGGACAAGGAACTCAAGGGGTGGACTCCAGACTCCCGATCTTAGCCCATGGAGGTGGCCCTCTGGTGAGTGCTTAGAAAGAGAGAAAGTTCTGCTCTTTGTGGGGACATTCTGGGGACAGCTTGGCCTTGGCCCTTGGGAGGGCCGATTTGAGAGCAAGCAGTCATGGGAATGCAAGTTCAAGTCTGGCTTCACATCCCTTCAGCTGAGGTCCTGGCCAGGTCAGTGGGGCCTTGCTGTCCTCATCAGTTACATGTGGTCAGGGTGCCCTCCACAGCTGGGCGAGGAGGCCCAGCCCTGTCAGTGTCTGCAGCCCAGCCGTGGGGCTGGAGGAGATGAAACTCTTCCTCCCATTCTTGGCAGGTGCCCTGGGCCCACCTGAGGCAGGGCAGACTCCACAACTCGGACCAGTTAGCCAGAGTCCAGTGGGCAGGGGCCAGTGCCATGTCCTTGTAGTGCTTGGTGTGCTGTGGGGCTCAGGGTTGGGAGGCTTCTCAGGGCCCACCGGCCGACACTGAGGCACTTCCTTGGGGACAGAGCAGAGGGGATGCCAGAATCAGCAAGGGGAGACACAGTCCGGAGAGGGCTGGAGTGTGGCCACTAAGAGGACACACCTGGCTTGTCCCTGAACAGGTCATGGCCTTAAAGTCTCTGAGCCTCCACTTCCTCGCTATGAGGGGAGCCAGACAGAACCTGCCTTAGGGACACTGTGCCCATGCGTAGCACATGGCAGGTACCCAGGAACGGGAAGTGGTGCTGGAGAAAGCTCCTGGCCTGGGAACAGAGAGGATGAGGGGCCAGCTCTTGCCCTAACTCTTGAGCCTGGACCCAGTTCAGCCCACCCAGAGGAAGCCTCCTGGTGCCTCTCATGGCCCTAGCCAGGGAGTGAGGGCTCTGGCCTTGGGTGGGTCCTCCTGGTTGGGCTTCCTGAGCCTCAGTCTCTCCTGTGGAATTGCACCCACTGGGCTGTCTCCAGCCCCCTCCAAGATGAAGCACTTGGTGCAGGTGTGTTTGGGGGGATGCTTTGCTCTGCTGTGCCCCAACCCCTCTGGATGGGCAGAGCCAGAGCCCTGCATGTGTCAGGGGTCTTAGGAGGCTTTGCAGAAACCCTCCAGCAGAGGCTGCAGAGGGTCAAGGGAGAAGACCCCACCCCATATGGAGCAGATGGCCTTCTGAGGAGGGACTTCTGGGGCAGGGGTTGCCCTGGGGCTGCCTGAAGCTTTGGAAGAGCTCACTAGATGGCCCAGCACACCCGCACCCTTGCCTGCCTCCCCCCACTCAACACCCATCCCATCTCACGCTCTCACGCTGGTTCCCTTCCCTCCCTTTACAGTATTATTGGTGCCCGCTCCTGGGACCTCTTCCTGGGCTGACCTCCTCCAGGAAGCCATTCCTACTTGGACTGGCTTGATGCCTCTCCCTGCTGCCCCCTCCCAGGGTGTCCTGCATGTCCCCCATGCCAGGACTCGTCCTGCAGTGCTGCTGTGTGCCACACCCTCAACTGTGAGCTTCCCGTGGATGGCTGGTGGGTGCGGCAGAGCCCCCATCTGCTCCACCAGTGCCCAGAGCCACCTGGCTGGGAGTGGCATCCGTATTTCTCTGGCCAAATGAACTCTAAGTGAGCCTGGAAAGCTGACAGAGGGAGGCCCGTTTTCTCCCATGGCATTTGGTGCTCAACGACCCAGCTTCTGCCTCCAGCTCCACCTCAGGACACCCTAGTCTTCCCAGATGAGCAGGGCTGACACCTCCTACAGGAAGACTCCCTTCCCCACCAATTACTTGGCTCTTGGGTCCACACTTGTGTTTCCCATACCCCACCCATGACGACCCCCATCCCACCTTTGGTGGCAGCAGTCTTTAGTTCAAGCCAGCGCCATCACTCACCACCTGTGAAGCCCTGGGCATGTCATTCGACTGCTTGGAGCCTCAGTGCCCTCACCTGTGATTCTGGAGACCATGTGTGTTGAGTGAATGTGTGAAATCAGGCAGTGCTGTGGGCTGGGCGAGATGCCCCAGTGGAAGGTGCAGAGCTACAGAAAGAGCTTCTGGTTTCCACACAGGACTGGGCCCTGCCAGGACCAGCCTGCCCATGTGCAGGAGGAACAGAGGCCCAGGCTATCCAGGATATTCCGTGTAGGACTTCTCAGAGCCTTTGTGTACTCATGACCCTGGAAACTTTCCTAGGGGAGGGGGATAACCATCTTTCCTCTATGTCACTCGACCCTGCCCCCTCTCCTGGGACTTGTGTTCTACCCAGCCAATGGCCACACCAATACTTCATGCCGAGAGCACAGGTGGGGGGCTGCTGCCTCACTGGCCATTCACAACTCACTGGATCCCTGCCATGTGGCTGGCAACGGGAGAGCAAGACCCCCAAGGCTTGGGATGCTGACACTTACTCAAGGATGGTTGGTGGGGGAGGGATGTGCCTACTTTTCCTTGGGCTCCTCTCAAGTCCACTG